GTTACTAACTCAGAGGGCAGCAATCCACGATTTATGTATACACTAGGGAAATATTTGTAGCAATATTAAATGCCTCTTCATGTATACCTAGAATGTCCATATGATTGCAAAACGGAAATTATTAGCCTTCCTCGTAAGACGTAATAATTTGATGTTGTTTAAACAAGATGGAACCAATGTTTATTGGTAGCCGGATGATAGTCAATGCTTGAAACAGAGACATTATTAATGACGAATGATCTGTCTTGCTATATACATCAATCAGTGATCTGTATGTCCGTCTCATAGCTGGAACTTCAAAAACATTGTCATTACCAAGGTATAAATTCAGTGAACAGAGAATTAAATGAACATGGAAACGAGATTAAAACGTCCGAACGAACATTTGAAACGAATGCACATTAATTGTACGTTTGTAATTCATGTATATCCGATATTTAATTTGGTTTAAATTAAATCATGACAGAAGTGTTGTAGTTCGAGTTTAAGCCAGCGATACCCGGGCATTTGACGACGAAATAGCCCGATTTTTATCGATCCACGTTTCGCCATTATTTGCCCGTTACTGGTGTAACCGATACGTGTTAAAACCTGCATCTACTAACTTTTTTCTATACGGATTTTTACACGGTGTAATTGTATCTCCATTATTTTTGCGCGTGCGAAAGACTTAAGAGGAAACTTAGTAAATTGTTTTTTAATTCTAACACATTTTTTACGAATCCTGTTAATGATATTTCAAAGCAGAGACAAATAACTTTTCACGATACTAATTTTAGAGTTCTAACAATCCTGATTAATTTCTCTAAGCGAACAAAGCCGCGGAAACGGTACTAACTATGATTCCGAAATTGTCTAGCGTGTAAAGAGCACAACAATAATCCAGTTACAGAACAACCAGAACAGCCTGGAAACAGTTAACCTATTTTTGCGTAATGTTCCTACCATGATGATAAATGCTAATATTCTTAATAGCATCGCCGTGTACATATTCGCATTAGAATTAACTTCTCGGGTAACGTACCTGTTACATGTTAAGAGCCGTGGCTTTATGCTCTTCGATGTTCGCTAAACTAATTTAAAGGACATAAGACGTTTTTCGGAAGGGCTTACACGTCCTATAAAAATCTAACTTCGTTGGTGGAAGATCAAGTATTTTGTAAACTGTGTATGCTCGTATGAAAAAAGTCTTCATCAAAGAATAAAGTATTTATCGTAAACTTTTTTATACCCGTAATCCTCACCTCAATAACTTTTTAAGGCCGATATATAGGTGGCAAAGTGTATACATTGTATATATAGATAGATAGATACGCGAGTGTGTACGCAGCTTTTAAAATGCGCTAATAAAATTGTCAGCGCTCCACAACACATAATTTTTAAGCTTTTACGGTTTCCATCGTGAGAGTAACTTCACGATGGTCCATGTAACTGAAGTCGATACACGCGCATCGTGAAAAATATGCACAGTTAAAAAAAGTTACGGACGCTACAACCAAATTCGATCGGCCAACCGGCGTTACTTTATTTCACGCGTTTTATCCCACGCAGTTTACATTTTATAATGCAGCCATTAAGATCGCAATTAATTCTAATCACGGTCTTCTAATCACGGTGTAATTAACGAGAAATTAATGTACATAGATATGGTATAACATGTCCATTATATTATCATAAACGTATTGTAATTATGTATAATGTATTTATATCAAAAGCAAGCATCATATATAATATATATATAATATCATAGATATGGGTCTACGATTGTTTGCTTTAAATTGGAAGGATTCCACTGTCAATCAAAGTAATAGTTAGGCCATACAAATTCCAATTGATTAAATGAGTGAAGTTGATTACGGTAATGACGAGTTCAGTAGTAATAGAAAGAACATTGAACGGTATATCATCGAAAAATTAGTGGCGTCGGTTATTTTTGCATGAACAAGCGGTGATGTAAATCCCTTTGATACATATTTGAGTAGTCGATAGATATCATAGCTACACGAGAGTCCATGCTGGTTTCTTAGCCCATATTTCAGCGGCGGTAGTTACCGGTGATTAATCAAAGAGAAAATTAGTGAGTCCAGATTTTGGTTCACCGTATTCATCACGAAGGACATCAGTGTACCGGCATAATTCTGTCTAGTTAGGCGTCTTTTGCATCAACATTTATTTCACGATTCAACTTTAACATACACACATTGTAATAAATAAGAATGTTACTAATATCAGGTGCTTTCTTTCGAAATTAAATTTTATCACAAGGACAAAAATTTCTCTGTTTATTAGTTAAATAATCAATGCATTGTGTTTATCATATGTACGTGGCTCTCAGGTACACTGTACTTATATTATAGCATGTGCATGCAATAAAAGTGTTATTACATGTTAGTACTCGTATGGTCGTTTTGGACGACGGCAACGGGTTCGACTGCCTGCCGGTAACATGATTATGTGTACGTGTGTGCCTACACAATAGTTGCCAACTCGATTAGCTGAATCCATAGAAGTGTCCCTCTATCGTGATACAGAAACGGTGGTCTGGTATGGAGATTGCTTGACCGCAAACTAGAACTTTACTTTAAAGATCTTGCTATCCATAACTACTTTAACGATAACGTTAACGTTAGCATGATCACCGTTCGTTATAACTCAACTGTACGATAAACCTAATTCTACGTTCCTAAAGAGAAACAAACGTAAAAAGTTTGTATAACGGTCTGTAACGGTTTGCCAGTTCACCTGGCCGAACTACCATCAATTGTTATTGGTCTTTTAATGACAAAATGTTGATCGTAACAATTTCTCCGAAGGAATTATGCACATTTGAAAATGGATAAAAGTAATGAAATTCAAAATGAGATTTCGACGAAAAATTTCTTGATGTTCCTGTGTACGTGCTGCGGAACTTTAAATTGCTATCTCTCTCAAGTTGGACTTTAAGGGAAAGGAAATGAATTTACATTTCGTGCTAAAACTCATTGTAAAAAGAACGTAAAACTTTTAAGTGCACCAGTTAAGAGTATACGCGTACATTCCCCAGGGCCTGTATTTTCATCCACATAACATGTATCGAGCACGCTGGAAGTGGGTACTATCTTACCTGATAAATTCCGGAACTACGGTTCTTAGTGCGTCTCCTTGGTATATGCTGTTGCAGCTTCTGTGGTCCCAGACGGCACGCCTTCGACATATCGGTCACGTACACCATCATATAGAATCGCATTTGTAAGACCCAGCAACGTTATCGTCGAGTAAACATCGATAGGAAAACACTGTCATAATGCACATGACGATACACTTGCATGCACGCTTCGTGGCTACATCTGCTCTAACCGCGTCGCTCGTTTCACAATATCGTTCTATGTACCTGTGTACGACCCTTCCTATCTTGACACAGGTTTTAATTTTCCTTTCTTTTCTTTTACGCCGCGATAATTTCTTCATGACGCCTGCTACATATTCCTGTGGATTATAAACACATTTGTAAAGTATTCGTTTCGTATACTTCATAATTTGATGTTTTATAAGCGTAAAGTTTTTATCGAAAAAGATGTCGGTAATTAGAAAACTATGTTCTCTAAACTAATATTACACTGCGTATATACGAGGCCGTGCCTGTTCCGACATATCTTTAACTTCTTTTCTTCGTGTCTTAACTAATAATTTCTTCCTCGACGTGTAATCTCTAGACCGTGAAACGAGGTCTTAAGTTTTTATTTTAACCATGGCTAATAATTCTTGAACATGAAGCTTTTACCAAAGTAAAAATTTATTAATAACTGCGAATAGATACAGTTCCAATTTCCTTTTTACAATTTTGAATACGAACATATAGCATAATTTTACAATTTAGCGTACCGAACCTAGTTTGTTGTGAAACTTTCACAAAACCTATCGTACGATCTAAAGGAATTAGATGATTAAATTAATCCACTCGCGTATGCAGTATGGAAAGAAACGCACGTTCAATTTTTCTGCCTAACCTCTAACTGTACATAAGAAGTGCTAATGCGCAATAAATGAAAAAGGTCAATGAAAGAATGACACTATCATGAATATTATGAATAACCCTAAGCATGCCATAGTAGATATATATCTATCTACTTACAAAAGACATACTTACTGTTTGAATATTTAAATATTTATTCTCTCCTTTCAAAAGTAAATACTATATATCGATGTCTCTGGCCATACTTGTCATAAAGCTACAGAAAAAACATGGCGCGACATGTTTCATAACATTCTTTTTCTTGTATTTAAACAGTAAGAGAAGAATGGAAGACTAAAGACAAAAGATTTATAGAAATTAAATGTGGAAACTCGCATAAAATAATGAACCACAATACAATCGATTGGCATGGCACGAAAATATTGCATCCTTGGTTATAATTGTATACTTTATACAATATTTCCTCATATTCATTTATTTCTATCCATCTTTCAACTTAGAGAAAGGTTTTCTTAGAAATTACAGAAATTATATAACCTATAATCGTATAACAGTCATAGACATATTGTATACACCTGACAAACAAACGAATTTGCCTTAACCACGACCGATTATAAAACAATTACAACCAACAAAGATTTCGTTAACAAAAGACTGTCATAAAAAATGGGTACGGACTTACGTTAAAGATTCACTGATTACACCGAAATGACAAAACTCGTTGCTAAATTAGGTGCGTGAACGTCGAGATCGAAATCGTTGAAAAGCTGGGAAACGAAAGAGAGGGCAACGTACGTTCGGTGCATGGTCTTCTTCTAAATCCATTCTCCAAGTAGAAAATCGTGGATGCGGACGTGTATACGAAATAAACACATAATAACAGGTATACGGTAAAGTGCGTGTGTACGTAGGTTAGGCACGAAAGTACGAAAGTAGGTACACCGTGGACGATATCAAACGGCGCTATCGGGGGATCGAGGCGTTCGGGCGATCTCGGCTTCTGCCGATGTCTCACGAAGTGGGCCGAAAGCAAAGCGCGCGGCAGACGGTCTTCGCGCGCCGAGCTATCTGGTTGGCACTCACGTCGAGTCGGGCACTTACATTCGAATTGACGTCGCACGTCTCTCGTTCTTGCCTCGTTTTATCCTCGTGATTCACACTGACCGCGCTCGCGCCAGTTTCGTCGCTGAGTTTTGTGCACCGTCCGGTTGGAACGCGCCGTTTAAATCACCGACAGTTCGTTTTCTCAAAGGAAGTTAGACAGTGCTTTTTTTTGTGATGTGCATGGAATTGACGAGCCACTTCAAGATGACGATCGTCTGGGTCTGCCTCATCGGCCTGTTGTGTTCTACGGCTGTTAAAGGTGCGACAATATCTGTACTTTCTTTCTGTATCTCTTCGGTTTTACGTAATTTCGTGAGATTGTAATTGCACGTCGCGACTATCGGAACAATATCATAGTGACGTATGTGTAACGGTTTTTTCTGCGACGACAGCGCACGATTCTCGCCGCCATTCCTTTCAATCGATCTATCGAACGGTTTGAAATCTCGTGTTAAAATGGCGTGCAAAAGGCGGGGATAATTCTTGTAGAAAGTATCGTGTTCACGTGGAGCGTACTACAAAATGTACGAAGTCGTACGATTTTTACGCAGCAATTTTACGTCGTTATTACGGTAAGAAGTAAACAAAATCGATCGAGTTTCAAACTACTTCACAGAAAGGTCATATAGCCTACGACGAAATATTATGATGGATCAATTGGTGAATGTTGTGTAACGTTAACGATACCTCTATTGATCACGAGCGAAACCGTTCCTTGTTGAAATCATGGTCGGATTAGTCACCAAGACAGACTGGTGCCAGACTGACATTTGGTTTCATCGCATCGCCGTACTGATGTGATTAAACGAATTATAACTGGTCTGTAATGGTGAATTATTGCTGAGAAAGTTACAAAAGCAACGTCTAAAAGTTCGTTGGCTCCTTTGCTCGGCCTAGTTGACCGGCACGATAATTTGTACGATCATTGTTAAGGTCAACCGATGGTCACCGAGATCACGGCCGTATCAATAGTAAAATAAGCGTGAATGAAGTCGGTATCGGGTTATTGAAATACGTAGCTTAGAAAGTCGAAAGTTATCGTGGTTCTCCTTCAAACGTTCTCCTTGAAAGGTTGGAAAACGGGCAACATAGTCATCTTTCTTGAAACTTCGACACTTTCATAGCTGATAACTTATCTCGGGATTATTTTCTAAAATAGATACGGAACGATTGTACTCTTTGGAAATAGAGGGAAGAGATTGGGAAATTGGAAATTCGAAGAAATTATTGAGCACTTATCTAAACGGGGAGAATGTTCCGTGTCAATTATTCTAGCGCGATAATGGAAGATTTATCATTGATGATACGCCACTTTACACATCCGTAATCTTCTTATGATAATAATATCAATTTTGTTATTTTACCTGTTTGAATTTTTTTTATTATTACTTATAGAACTGATGTTTTCGTATCCGTATAATCAGGAATTATGGTACGGTGTTGTAACTAGTGGTCTGTAACGTAGATATTTTCTGTATTTTCTAGAATTACTATTATGTATCTGCTGTGGTTTACAAAGCGCTTCGACGTTCCTTTTCAGTTTTCGTAACCTTGACGTTCGTTGCTATTTACTTTTCCATCCGTTCGTGCTCATTCAACTGCGATCGATACACGATAACTGCGTATAAAATATTCGCTTTGCAATCATCATGGTTGAAATTTTTTATTGTCCTGATTAAATATACATGACGTAATCACAACGAGTTTACCATGCTCTAAATCATTATAACGTCCAATGATCTCGAAACTGTGGAAACCGGTTATGCGGTTTCGACTTTCGATACGTATCGTAGAACGGGCTAAATTCGCAGAGGGAATTTCGATGTAAACTTTTCAATGGAAACTTTTGTTACTACGAAGAAGCTTGTTATCCTGGTTAGGACGCTGCGACGTTCAGGGTTAGGACATTTTCCCTTGATGGTTTATAAATTTTGTAGTGGTCGGATGGTATCTTGTTTGAATTCGATTACCATGCAAAATAGACCACCCTCGTCCGCTTTTCCTGCGGTTATATTATTTTTCTCGATGTCAGTATAAAGTAAAACGAAACAGATACTTTCCCTGGAAGTAGGTATAAAACGCAGCGAGAGTCTGGTATTTATCGATCTAGGGTTATGAATAACGCCCGGTATCAAGCACAACACCAGCTTTTGTTGTACATAGTAACATAACGACTCGAATAGAATTAACTGTTTATTGCCGATTGAGTTCTTGCGATAGTTTTTGCTTATATATAGAATTCAAGGATATCGGCACGGTTATGACAACGTACTTAGCAATTATGAACAATTTTTCATTGAGTAATATCTTAATTCCGGTATTACTTTTTCTTTCTTCTCTCTTTCTCTGAAATTTCGCGTAGGTTCGCCGTTTTGAAGCTCTAGATTAAATCAGATAGTTGATAAAGTTAATAAAAGGAGAGAAAAGTGGATGAGGTGGAGAAACTCGTGTACTAATTAATACACTGTTATATCATAATTACTCTCTATAAACTTTATTACCGGTAAGAGCAGAAAACACGAGACGAAAGTTTCGTGTGATGAAGACGAAGTATTTGTTTAATACATCCGGTCACCACGACAACGACAGAGACGTGCTTGCCTGACAAAGAGCTTCCTCGCGACAGCCCTCGTGGAACAAAAACCGATCGAAAATTAACTACCTGACGCGTGGAAAGTCAAGGTGAAAATTATCGTCGGAGAATTACAATCTTGGCCACGTGCATGGCATCGTGGAACGCGTCGAGGGATACGCCTCGTATACACGGAAAGTTTAAGGTTACATTTACACGAAATGCCTTTCCCTCTATGCGACGCGAACTTAACTCGTGCTTACCTTGAGCTGTAAAGAAAGGTCGATGCAAATGATGTAATTGAAAATGCTAAAGATAGTTTCCCGCTCCTACAACGCTGCTCGTATGAGATTCATATCTCGTTGAATCTCAGCTCATACATACAATCGATCTTGTTTCCTTTATTTTCCGATATCAGCTTTTCATATTCGAGTTAGGCATTTTTTGCATAAAACGCTGATCTTTAAGAAATCTCGTATCGTAGCTAAGTACCTGGTAATCTGAAATTCTGAAAGTCGCAAATGCCAGGATGCAAAATATTCCTTCTACGTTTTTTTTATCGCGATTCATCTGCAACACGACCACATCCTCTCGCCAGAAGAATGCATCTCGATTCTAAAGATTCGGTGAGTCAACGTTGATCGATGAGTACGAGTCATCGGTCCAAGGATAAGGTCCGGAGCATTTGTCTTTTACGCCGAACACGATACTGCCACACATTCAATGCGAATACACGGACTATACATATATATACAGGTCGTTTCAGGTTCTAGATAATCCAGTTTCGTAGCCCACGCATACCAATAGTAGACATAGTTAATGCACGACCTACAGTCGGTCAGAGACCCCATCAATCCTCCGGATAATTTCGACGAAAATTACCGAGTCAAAGAAGATTTTATCTAGGCAATCAGCCTACAAATTGAACAAGAGATAGAAACGTTACGATGTGTTATTACAAATACAGCAAGTAGTAAATAAAAGTAGAGTTTTTTAAGAATTAGTGTTCGAGTAAAATTGGTATCTATATATTTTTAGTGGAAGTTGCAGTAGTTCAAAAGTAAGGTCATGAATGTATTATCGTACTAATAAATTCGAAAACAACCTTATCTAACATATTAAAAGTATGATTATTATTGATAAGCTGATAACTTTTCCGGGGCAGCTGAAAAAATGATTCACTAGTGTAACGTATAGTTTGCTTTCTGATATCAAAGAATTTATCAATTTAATTGATACCGTACATATAACTATCCCATTACATAGCGAAATTTATTTCAGAAGAATGTAGGGTGTCGTTGAGAGTAGAACAAATTGACGACCTAATTATGCTACGCTCCTGATGAAACTAGAGAGACTCTACGTACCACACATTCTTTTATGCTTATGACATATACAGTTTCTGCTACATAGACGTTCAATGTTATTTGATTTTTTAGTTTCTACAGATATTTCACTCGTTTATATTCTATTTCATTTATAAATGGAATACAAAACGATACACAGTAGACAAATTTTAGCAATGATATTACGTTTATTTCTTAATCTTTATGGCAGGTTTCTACGAAACAAACACTTTTACTTATGAAAGCGTCATTTTTTATCATTAATCCACGAGTGATTGAGCGAATGACAAAATTAAAATAAATCAATAAGTAAAATGATAGAAAGACGCTTCGCCGTAGAATTTCGTAATTAGTGTCAATATGAATAGTAAATAGCAAAGGAAGTACGTAGCGAGCTTACCGATGATTCGCCTACTTCGCGGTAAAATGATTCATCTTATAGACGCGTTTGCGGAATCCTGACTTATGTATTACATTCGTAACACGGTAAGTCATTAAATGCTTAGCTCATTTAGCGACCCTACTTATCATAATCTCGATCGATATTCCCGAAACTTAACCGAAAAGCCTCGTTTCTTAACAAAGTTATCGTTATTTACGAACATTTACATATCTTCCGACTGAAACTAAACAACTCGTTTCATCGATTTCATATCCATAATAATACCCATAGATTCTTCCATTATTACGGTGTATTTATTTGCATAACCACCAAGCGATGAAACGGTACGTGGATTAACTATGGCTTGCGTAAAGGCACGTAACGTTTCGTCACAAGTACGACCTACTCTAACGGTCGTTGACACGGTTCTCTCCTTCGTCGAATCGTTCTCCCTCGACCAAATTAAACAAAGGACTCACGGGCCAAAGGGACTGCTATGTTACAGACGACCTACGTCGAAGGGTCAAAGCAGCCATAAAGATCCAACGGTCAAAGTCATACAGACCGAAAGTCATTTAGATGCGGCGGAAAGAAGGTGAAACGCCCCGTGAAGAAAAGTTACGTGGCAGGTGCGTTCCTCGTTTCTGTGTACGGACGTGCGTGATGTCCAACACACGTTCGCTCGACGTAGGTGCGAGTAGAGAACTATATATACGCCTATGACGACCAACAGGTTCTCCTTGAAACAGGTTTCGGTACCTATTTTCGGCCCTCCTTCGCTGTCTAAACTCCTCAAATTACGCTCAACCAAGCTACGATCGCCCTTTCTTTCCTGTAACCTTCGGTAGGGCGCGCAGGTACCGTGCGTAATTAAAACGCGTGGATTATGGCATTTTTTTTCTTATGTATTATAACGCCGTCCGTAAGTACGTGCAGTCGGCCGTGGTTGGAGGTTGTTA